TTGGGTGTGAATTTTTGGACTACTTTTTCTACATGAAATAGATTGTTCAAGATGTGAATTATACAACAGCCATGGAACATTGGCTTCATGGTGGTTAAAACCATGAGTCGCCACTTCATGTGGCATCATGAGTTTCAGGCTAATAAAGGAACGTGCTTTTTAATCCTTCAACTTTAAGCCGCTTTTTTCAAACAAAAAAGCTGTTTTAAGCTTCTTTGATCCTGCCTATGCGCTTATCCCTAAATTTGACTGGGAGAGCACTTAGTTTCAAGGCCATTCTTAAACCTCGCAATAGCCCCATTATGATTTAATTTTCAAAAAAAGAAAAAAATTTGACGGGGCTACTTGAAGTAAATTAAATTATTACAGATATTGAAATGAAATTTCAGTAGAAGAGCATTGGAACCTCATGATGATAAAATGTTTCAGGAAGAAGCTGTTTTTTCCTAATTCATAATCAAAATTACATTTCTAAAACAAATTGAGAAGAAAAGAGAGAAGCCTAATTTTTTTCTTTAAAAAAAAACAAAAGTACCTAAAAAGAAAATTAAAATAAAATAGAGTTAAAATCAGGATTGACTACCTACTTATGAAGTCGCACTGAAGTAGTGCAACAGTAATACAACTAACAAAAAGGAAGAATGAGAAAAATCATCATATAAGGAGGGTAAAACCTGTGGGAAAATCGAACCAAGAGCTTTTAAACGTCATGAATTTAACTACTGTCCAAAAGAAACAAAAAAACTAGGAGTATCAAAGAAGCATACTTTTTGAACCTAAAAAGGTGATGCGTTCAACAATTTTGATGATTTTCAAAAAAATAAAGTATACTATTCTTTTCTACCATTCCCTCTTTGTCAAATGCAGAAAAAATCAGCAGACATATTTTAGTAGTTTAAATGCTGAAATGCTGAAATACATGTGTTTAAATGGGAAACGCCGCTAGATGATGTCACTAGGCAGTGCATTTTCTCACTTTTAAATCTATTTTTACACTATTTTCCCTATTGGAAATAAAAGTTAAAAGAAATACTGCAAAATCAGCTCTTGAAGCACTCTGAGATTAAACAATAAAAAATATTCGTGCAAACTTTCCGATGAAAATTAAAAGAGACGAGTTTTCAAATTATATTGAATTCATGGAGGAAAATTATAAAATGTATACAAAAGAACAGATAAAATTGTTTTAAAAAGAAGCGCCCTAAACAAAAGTTCTAGTGAGAACTTAATTTGAATTTGGGAATCTAAAAAAACATTAGAAAAACATATGAGTTATCAATCCTAAAAAGAACTACAGATGTAGGAAATTGATAAATGCAAGAACAAATGGTAGGTCAAAATGGAAGTATCGCTGTCATGGTATCATAAAACAAAGGGTACTGCTAGATCAAAAATTAACTTTTTATTTCTTTTCGAAGTTTTCCTCCTTATTTTTGGATAATTTTTATTTTTTGTAAACTTCAGCTACTTTCTTTCTATATTTAGTCTATGTAGGCAAAAATGTTGGCTTTACATCATAGTTATTTGTACTTGTTTCTGTAAAAATAGAAATACTCATTACAGAGGAAATCAACATCTCTGACCCCAATCTGAGAGGCGCTTTATACCCAACTCTTGTTCAAGGATAATATAGATACACCTCATCTGTTCCTCCAACAAAGCTTCTGCAAGATTTGGGATGAAAGCATGATGTGCCTCGTGGTTTTCAATCAGGGCCAATAACCTTCCTCGTTAGAAAAGCAAGAGTAGGAAACAGGTGGAAAAACAAAACCAGGGAAGAAAAGGAGTCATTTTCTAGTTAATCATGCAGTACCCTTTGAAAATATGTGGTAAGGAGAGTTGAAGGGAGCAAAAACCATAGCAAGAGGGAGTTGTAATCAATGAGAATATCTCACTAAAAATCGATTTGCACATTCATGGGATGTTTCATAACAAAATTTATGCACTTTGTGAGTTTCCAAGAGTATTAAAATATTCACAGCATCCAGATTACAGATTCATGCACAAGATGCCTATCGCTCCAGCTATCTTACCTTATAAAAGAAACAGATTATTAGATAATCTTGGATTGCTTATCCGCAGATTCTGATGGGTCATTTTCAAGGCAAAATAATATACATAAAAAAAAAGATAAACAAATATATTGTAGCAAAAATAAAAATATAAACAGAGAGAGTTGCACAATACATAAAAGCTAAACCCTTTTAATAAGAGCTTATTATTGATACCAAAAGCCACCTAATTTTTATATTTTTGAAAGATAAAAATAGGGTACTCAAAAACTAAGAGTTTTTTTACCCCTGACAATCAAAGAAGATGGATGTATGAAACATTCTTTTAACTTTTTAATTTATTAAGTTGATTAGTAAGCTGCGGACGCAATAGCAAATTCAATTTTTTACAATAATCAACCTGAACAAGATTAAAAACTAGAAAAAAACCTTGTACAGCGCTACCTCTTTTGAAACATATTAAGATTGAAACATGTAAGTGTTACTGCAGTTCACTATCACACAGCCGAAAATGAGAGATGCGCGCAGAGAATAGTTAAATGCTTTCCATAGCAAATTAAGGATGCCGGGCAATGCTATTATAGAGAAAAACAATTTAACAGCCGCAGGAATCAAAATCCAACGAGAATATTTGGCTTGTGTTTGCAAACACTATCAGAAAAATGTTCTTTGAGTGGGGCGTTTTGACTTTCAAAGCTTAACAGAGTTGATCAAAATAGTCATCACTTTCAGGAGGAAAAGTCTAGAAGTTCCCACTAGAGCTTTTCGCAGCTATTGAGAGTTTTTTTCTCATTCTTTTCATCTGAGCTCACTTTATATACAGATCCTGCCTCCAAAGCAGAGGTTTTCAGCCATAATTGACAACAAAGTTGTGTTTTACCCTCAAGCAATCCACTCCAAAAGCATTAGGCATTTTCTATCCATTCAAAATCAGAAAAATGTAGGCTGAGCTTTTCAGAAATGTTCTCCTTGTAAAATGAATTAAAATTTCCTTTATTTGCAGTTCCTCACGGAAAGATGAAAAAGAGAAACCGTTACAAGATCGCAAGAATACTCGTAACTTGATTTTTTTTTTCAAAACGCTTGTGCTATTGAATCAAATGTTGATTTATGCACCAACATGTCTCAAGCAAGGACGTGCGCATGAAACGCATTATTACAGCAAGTTTGTCTTGTCCCTTCTGTAGCCCAAACAAAATTTTGTTTGCATTTCTTGCTGTTGTGAACTGTTGAATCGGTTAATTGATGATCCGCTTTTTTATGTATGAACTGATCACAAAAGAATATAACTTGTGTACTTTTAATGTGGGAGTAAATATTTTGAGGGAGAATGACAACACTGCCATGCACACTGCACATGATAGAATATGGATTTAATTTTATTGGAGGATCATGATAACCTTCAAGCAAAGTCTTATTATTGTGGACCCCTGTTTTGCATTCAATTTGCCTACCCCTCTCTTTTTTACACATGAGAGTGATCCATAAGGTCTCCAAAGAAAGAGATAAATATGGTAAAAAGCGCAAGAATATGAGAGTAAGGTCCCCTTTCCTAGTTCTGCTATTAGAAAAAAGGGCTGCATGCTGCAGAGATCAAATAAAATGTTGGTTTCTTGGGTAACTAGTCTTGAGGTTTTCCTTTTAAATAAGATCGACGTCAGTAACTAAGAGGCTTCTATTTTAACTGTTAAAAGATTTACAGACACCTAGAAGAATATGAATCACTAGTATACACATTACACATAAAGCATTGGCAGCTCTCTTACGATAAGATTCCATGAATTTAGCATCATTTCATGGAAGTTTGAAAGCGCTCAAAAAGCATGGTATTTCACTGCCAATTCAAAACAGCGATAAATGAACATATTAAAAGCACTGAGTAGTTAGGCTTTGGCAATGGCATTAGAAGCATCACATTTAGTACTTTTAGATATATACACATATCACACAGATCAATTGAATGGAGAAAAAAAGTACCCAAATTAAAATAATTTATTTTTTTGCATCCTCATTGGAATTGAATAGAGGACGAAGATCAGAAATTGAAACCTGATGACGAGCTCGACAAATTTTTACAAAAGCTAAGCTTTAATGGAAAGCTATTGTACATCTATCACATGCTCCATTGGTTAACATTTTGGCGTCATTTCTGCGGATGTAATACGGTTTGAAAAGAAATAACTCCTTGGACATAGACATGAATAATTTATCACAGAGAATCAATCGTTGTGAACTCTTGATGAAGTTTCAATGGCTAGTGGTCAATCATGGAGAGAATATTAGATATTTACTTGATTTTTGGTGCATTTCAGAGGAAAGTGAACTAGACTTCTTACTTTGAGAAATTTCGCAAGTAACTTTTTTTATGCGAATTTTGGAGAGCAACTCCTGAGTAAATATCGATGCTTAGTTTTTCTTCCATTTTTCCCCCACCTTACTGCGTTATAAATTAAGATATATGTTTTCCTTTTTACTTTCACCATCAATATACTCAAAAGCTTCCGAATTATTTGATTATTTACGACTTCAAAATTTCAAATTTCATCAGCTGATAGTTTTGTTCCGCTACTATCATTAGTATTCTTTCTCCAGATTCAAGATGGTCCAGCAAAAATAGGTGGATTATACTGTCATAGGAATTTGTGTCAAATTCAATAATACATCGAAATTTCAATCAACTCATCTCTCTCAAAATGGCAGAATGCAGATTTTGAAGTTTTTCAAAAATGCCCATTTGGTTAAATTGATTCTTTGTGACCTACTTTCAAGCAACACAGTTCAAAATTTTCATTTCAGGGCAACTTTTGTTCTGTACTTTGACACATCACGGAAAGTATGCAAACATATGCGCTGCTTGTAATAAAAAGGACAGACACTGAAGAGGTGATAAAAAAAAAAAAAACACAGCAACAGTGATTTTCACTCCTTAACAAACACACACATTGATTGACACATTTTTAAGTAAAGGAAAACAACAAAAATACTTATCTTTTTCTTTTGTTCATTGAAATTATCGATGATGACTCCAATAAACAGATTGAGCGTGAAAAAGGATCCAAATATAATGAAGAACACAAAGTACAAATACATGTAAATATTTGTCTCTCGAATTGGTTGCTTTCCCAACTGGAACAAAATGAAAATATTGAGTCAATCAATAAAGAAAATAATAGAATGGAATCGAAAGTATACTTTATTTTACAGTTTTTACTTGCAGTTCAGCACTTCCCTTCAATGTATAATTTAATTAACTTGTTATAATAATAGCTGGGGTAAAAATCTGCCTTACAATAAGATCTCAATACTTAAAACTTTAAAATTTTGAAGTTTAAAGTTGAAAAGATAAAGGTCACAACCAAAAAGTTTTTGAGAAAAGCTAAAAGTTTAAAGGATGAGAGTCTATCACAGAAGTTCGGTTCCCCTGTTAATAATATAGGAGAAAACTTTCATAGCAGCTGATAAAAATAAGTATAAGAATGATAATATTCTTTTTTGAAAGTCAGCCAATAAATAACGGAACGAAAAGGCTTTCGATAAGTCAACACATTTTTTTATTTCATCGCGATTGCAGTTTTGTCAATTACTTAAAGAATGAACAAATACAACAACTGAATTAAATGCTCTGTTCAGAGATTAAACAAGGTGATGATTGTCTATTCTTGCAAGAATAATTGAAATAATAATCCACCTTTATGCAAGCCCATCTTAATAAATAAAATGAGGAAAGGCAGCGTCAAAAATATGCTGCCTGTGTCAACAAAGAATTTTTCAGGGATGGAATCCGATCGAAAATGCTGAAAGGCAAGATTCCTGAAGGATTATCGCTCAGTAGGAACAGTGACAGTCAGGTGTCATGGGGCACCAAAGAGTGCTGTAAACCAACAAACGAGTATTTAAAATTAAGAATGGGAAAATTCTCTTATTCAGCTAATTTTCAATTAACACTGACTTACCTCTCTTGAGTCAATAGCGTCATTCATTATTTGAATCCATCCTTTGAAAGTAGCGACTTGAAAAAGGCATAGGTAAGCTTTGCCCACGTGATCGAAGTTCATGGGCGAATTTTCCCATGTGTAATTTTCAGCAACACATACATTCCTGTCAGGGATTATTTCATGGCTGAGGGTCGTCCCATTTGCATCGACACACTAAAACAAATTAAAAAAATAATTATAAAATTAGCGTGACCTTCTTCAATTTTTTTTTTTCCAAAAAAATTACTGTTGACTTTACAGCAATGGTAAAATAACATCACAGCTCGGTCTCGTTCAAATTTTTTTGGTTAACAAGCAGTTTTCACGAAATAAGGTAGAGCATTCTACATAAACTAAAATTCTCAGCATTTGATGAATCAGAAATCTAGCTTGCTCCTTCTTAATGCAGATTTAAAGTTTTCATAGAATTTCACATTATATTAGCATTTCTTTTTCCTTACATGGCAAGCGCTCAAAAAAACACTTTGTGTCGTAAATTTGATATTAATGCAATGTTTCTAGAGACATGGAAAGCAAATAGGTTCTTTGAGACACCTCATACATGAAATTCAATTAGAATGAGTTATAAGTCTCGGAGAGAAGAAATTTACCTTATAGTACTTTCCAGCAAAAAGTTGTACTCCCATGATGGCGAAAATCAGCCAGAAAATCAGACAAACGAGCAACACGTTGAAAATACTTGGAATGGCTTGCACTAGGGCATTGACCACAACCTAAAATGAAATTCAATAAGTCCTCAATAAACAGTTCAATCGAAGTAGAAAAGTCAATCATGGATTTGAGGGAAAGGATACAAAAGTGAATGATTGTTGAAGTGAAAGATACCAAAATAAAAGTTGAAGTGAAGCTTTAAAACGCATATTCATTGCTTGCAATCGACAAAAGTAAATAATCAATGTTCTTCCAGACTAGAGGTGATCAGCTTTACTTCTGACTTTTCAAATCATTTGTTTTTATTGACGGTTTTTTCACAAAATAAGTATAATCTTTTCTGAGTGAATATTTACATTTTGGAGTGACAGATTAAATTGTTAGCCAAAGTTCAGAAGTGAAACACTCATCTGATACAAGCTTAAATAGAGTATATAGGTAGCGGAGAGTAACAACTACTTAGGATGCATTAAAAATAGAAATGCTCAAATTGGAGGTCTGAAGCTCTTAAAATAGTGTACTCTTGAACAACCAGAATCATTTGAAAATGTTTTTCCAGAAGAAAACTGGAGCAAGAGCGACTTTGGAAACCTTGCTGAGCAATGAAATGTTCCAGCACTGGGTATATTACCAAAAAAACTTGAAAACAGCCAGAATTTTTCTCCTGTCAAAAAACTGCTCATATGGCGTTGCTTGACTTAAGGATGACTACTTTGCAGAATATCCATTGACAACAGGGTAAACATGCAAAAAATGGGGGAAAGTAGGGGAAAATAGACTAAATTTTCCTGGTGTTTAGTTGTTCATATTCTGCTGCAAGAACATACAGGTGGTTCAAAAATCGAAAATCTATATAATCTGTCCGATTATTGAAGCTCAGATAGCAAGAGCTGCAGAAAACATATTCAACATATTACGTATCACTCTAACAATAAATTGTTACTTCCATCAACGATGATTGAAGAGCCAGTAAGAATACTTACATACTAAACCAAGTCAGCATTATTAGCCTTAATTTTTTTTCTTTCTTCTTTCTTTTTGTTTCCTACAAAGGCTGCTAAGTATGTGATTGAAATGCAATAGAATAATTTGAGCATTACTCTGTACAGATTGTTTTCTGCACTTAATTTTTATCATTTATTAACTATTTACAAAATCTTACAATCCTGGTGATATGTCAGCAATGTCATGATACATAGAATACTACGCCAATAAAACTCTCCACATGGTATGTTTGTGGAGGGAGGCAGAGAGTTTCAAGCCTTCACCCGACTTCAATTGGCTTTTCCCATTTTTAACAAAATTCACGATTATTTCCCTCTTAAATTTAAAAAAAAAAAAAACCTTGAAACGCTGTAAAAGCAATAATATCAAAAAAGTCTGGCAGGATTCCTTCTAAACCAAGATTTTTCCTGTCATTATAGTGTTTCCCGCATATCATGCAACTGACACTCAATCTGCACCCGAACGGACCGCCGAAATGTTGGGAGTTTTCTGCTTTCTGTGTGAGTAAATTGTTCAAATTTCCTGAATCATTTTTGAAAAGAATATTTGGACCGCATTTAGCAGAAAAGAACTAAGCCACATCAGCTATTGCCAAATTTAACTAAGCAATTCAATTTTTTAAAAGAAAAAGTCTATGCTGCTGTCTTTGAAAATTTTGAGGAATTTGCCTCGTGCAATTCAGAAAATACACTGAACTTTGCCAAAATAATCCGTACAACGTAAAAAGTTAAAATGCCGAATTGAATGTGGAAGTAGCTGATCTGACTTGGTTCCTTTCTGCTTAACACGGTCCATTTTATACTGTGGTAGCTTAACATCACTGTCGACTTGGAATCATTTGTATTTATGCCACATCTAACACAAAACATTTTACACTCACATTGATATATTAAGATAAGAAAAATACAATAGCTGCTACAGTAAGAAAGAAAAAAAAATAAGATGTGTTGCAAGACTGATAAAATAAAAATGCTTAACGAGGATTGAAGCTTCCTTTCAAAGATTATGGATGAAATACGGGTTGATGAGAACATGCAAACAGGCATACACTCTTGGGAAATAAAATTTCACATTTTCTACAGACAAAATGAAAAAGAACATACGCGTGTATCATAGGTAATTGAATTGATAGAATGATAGGATGCGATTTTTACTGAGGAAGATTTTGCTACGGAGGCGCAGAGTTTGTAATTTAAATTTTGATTAAAATAAAAAAAAGGAGTTAAGCAATTGGAATAGTAGACATTCACAAGCAAGACAGATAAATTTTGGAGATACATACATTAGTAATAATAGGAAAAATAGAAGAAAAGGAGTGTCTTGATGAGAAACTGATGAGCGAACTGATGAAGATATTCTCAATCGAAGAAAAAGCTTTCATTCCGCACATGATGATCATGTTCAGGATGCACCTGATTTCAATTTACCCTACTGGAAATGTTCTCAATCGGAAAATAAGTTTTGATTCCTCATACATTCACCTCTCAAACAAGCAAAAGAGGTTTAACATTGGTCTGGTAGATCGCTCGTCCTGGTCATTGTGGGGATTTAATAATTAGCTCGTCCTGGTCATTGTGGGGATTTAATAATTAGTTTTGTTAAGATCTTTAGGGAGGCATGAACTGAATTTATCAGTTTGCCACCTAAAAGCTTGTTTTGCTTGTTAGATGATTGCGATTCATGAAGTACAAGTGTTCTTTTGGGTTGACTACTGGCTGATGTTGCGGGTAAAAAAAATAAATAAATAAAAAAAATTGTGCTGCGCACCAAATACTAGCGTAAGTCACAGGGTTCATGCTGGCTTCTTTTCATGTCTTTCTAATGACTTGCTACTTACTCATTGATACAATTTCTGTCACAAAAAATTGATCTAAAATCATAGGAATTCGATGCAGTACTTCTAAAGTGCACTAATTCGATATTACAGAACATATTGTAGCTGGGGATTTTCTAATACCACGGTTCAGGGTTAACAGAAAGACATACCCTCATCCCTTGCATCCTAGACATGGCCCTGAGCGGTCTCAGAGCCCTCAACGTTCTCATAGTTTTGAAAGCTTGGATTCCACCCGCACCGCACAAAGAGGCTATGAAGTTTATTAGAGAAACCTGTACGAAGAAACAAGGTTCAAATTTTTGCAGCACACGTTAAGACAGACATTGATAAGCTTCCAATTGTCACCTTACCACATTGTTTCCAAAATTTGTATTTAATAATTTTTACAAAAATTATACATTGATGTAAGAAAAATTTGATAGGAGTAGATCTCCTGTCACGATAAACTATGATTTTTTTCTTCTTAGGTACAAATCAGAAATTTCATCTGATATTGATAGGAAAGTAAATAATTTTTAAAGAGAGAAAAGGGCTAAAAAAAAAGACTGGGCAATACTTGACAATCAGAAAAATCTATAATTTTACGCTGCTACCCGTTTACTAATCATTAAAGAGTTTCATGAAAATCACAGATATCTCCTCTATTAATAAAATTTCTGGACAGGTTATGCGTTCCTCAAGGTATTTACTTTAAAAATTACTATTTTGCTATTAATTGATACTGCTGTAAACAGACTAATGTCATTACAGAATCTGGAAAATTTAAAAAGAAATAATTGACACAATCATTCTGATAAGATGACAATCAAGAAAAAGAAGCAGCAGGCTCCATCAAGTGAAACTGATTGAGCCTAAGAAACAAGACAGAAATACAAGAAAAAGACGTTCATATTAATATGCACTATCAGATACAAAAAGAATAAGCGCAACATACCACTGATTTCAGATTAGGTGCCATAAAAATAGACATATCGACGGTGAAACTACCAAACCACGTATCTCGTTTGCGGTGTTTAAAAATCT